CGATGTGGGCGACATCGAAATTGATGAGCTCGGTGTGGTAGTTGTCGCGCTTGTCGAAGGTGACTGGAAGGTGCGTCTCGATAGAGAGAACATTGAGCCTCGCGCCACCATCGATGTGGGTCTTGGTGATGAGGACGTTGCTGATGGTGGGCGTGTAGAGCATGGGAAGTGCGACTATGGGGTGGTCCTTGGAGTTGAAGGTAATGGCGTATTGTGACTACTTGAGGGGACGTGTGGCCTGACGCCTCGAGAGGGCCGTGTTCACCTCACGAGAGAACTGCTTGAAGATGCGGTTCGAGGCTGGGGCCTGAGCGCTTCCTAGGATGCAGGCGATTGCGCGAGGCTCCTGGAAGCCCCCGGCCCCAACATCCTGTCGGTTTTCGTCATTTCTCCTTGGCGGCGGCGGCGGAGGGAGGCCGGCATTGCCCTGAGGACGGTCCTCACGAGGCTGGTCACGCCATGGGCCATCGCGAGGCTGATCCCATCAGCGGTCCTCGCGAGGCTGGTCGCGCTAGTCTTGGCGAGGGTCACGGTTGTCCCAACGGCCTTCGCCACGGCCTCCTCCATGACCGTAGCCACGGTCCCCACGCTCGGGGCAGAGACAAAGGCGCCCGTCACACAGTGCTCTGAGCTCATGCCAGTCATTGGTGTTGTGGTTGTGTACGTTGTGGAAGATGGAGAACAGGCCGTTACCACTGGGAGGTTCATTGTGGTCATGGCCACACTTCATCTCGGGCTCAGCTACGAGCACGGCAGGGCCCTTGTGCTTTGGCTCCTTAGCCTTGGCCTTCTTGTCTTCAGGGTGGGCCTCCGGAAGCTCGAGGAGGGAGAGGCGACCTTCTTCAGCCCTTGCGCACTTGTTCGCCAGGTTGAACATCTCTAGGGCCGAGCACAAGTCATCGTGGATGGCAAGCTCCTCTTTCATCTTGACATCCCAAATGCCATCAGTGAAAACCAAGATGATGGCCTCGTCTGATGCCTTCGGGATCTTGAGGCGAACATTCGTGACACGTTGTATGTACTTATGAAAGGTCTCGCCCGGCTGCTGCTTCACGCGCCGTAGTTCGCCCACCGCAGGGGCGTGGTCACGAGTGACCTGGAAGTTGGCGATGAAGCGCTCGTGAAGCTCATCCCAAGAGGAGATCGATCCCTCTGGGAGGTGCGGGAGCTAGGAGCGCGCGCCATCCTTGAGGGCCATGGGTGATGACCCACAAGTATAGGGGATCGCAACAGTTTTTTGAGGGTAGAGTATTCAACCCAAATTTATTGATTCGACACAAGGGGAGCCAAAGAATATTCTCAAATATTAGCAGCTGGCTTGTCAATTCAACCACACCTGAAAGACTTAATATCTGCAACAAAGTATTTAGTAGCAAACTAGTATGGAAGTAATGGTAATGGTGGCAAAAGTAACAGTAGCAGTTTTTTAGCAGTCGTAACAGTGGCAACGGAGAAGTAAATTAGCAAAGGTCAATATGAAAGGAGCTCATAGGCAATGGATTAATGATGGATAATTATGTCGGATAGCATTCATCATGCAACAGTTATAACATAGGGTGACACAGTACTAGCTCCAGTTCATCAATATAATGTAGGCATGTACTCCGAATATAGTCATGCGTGCTTATGGAAAAAAAACTTGCATGACATCTTTTGTCCTACCCTCCCGTGGCAGCGGGGTCCTAATGGAAACTAAGGGATATTAAGGCTTCCTTTTAATAGAGAACCGAACCAAAGCATTAACACTTAGTGAATACATGAACTCCTCAAACTACGGTCATCACCGGGAGTGGTCCCGATTATTGTCACTTCGCGGTTGCTGGATCATAACACATAGTAGGTGACTATAACTTGCAAGATAGGATCAAGAACACTCATATATTCATGAAAACATAATAGGTTAGATCTGAAATCATGGCACTCAGGCCCTAGTGAAAAGCATTAAGCATGGCAAAGTCATAGCAACATCAATCTTAGAACATAATGGATACTAGGGATCAAACCCTAACAAAACTAACTTGACTACATTGTAAATCTCATCCAACCCATCACCATCCAGCAAGCCTACGATGGGATTACTCATGACGGCGGTGAGCATCATGAAATTGGTGATGGAGGATGGTTGATGATGACGATGGCGACAGATTCCCCTCACCGGAGCCCCGAATGGACTCTAGATTAGCCCTCTTGAGGAAGAGCAGGGCTTGGCGGCGGTTCCGTATTGTAAAACACGATGAATCCTTCTCTCTGATTTTTTTTCTCCCCGAACGTGAATATATG